AGAGAGCAGTGAGGGGCAGAGAGGAGAGGCAGCAGTTATCTGGGTCAACCTGGCAGCCTTTCACCTATGGCTTTGCGTATATTGAGGATAAAAAAAAAAAAAAAAGTGGGGCATTCAGATAGAGCGTACACTGTTTGCTTCATGTTGGTGTTGCTTGTGTCGTTTGGGCAGGATTCCAGGTTGTGGGAATGAAAGGAAGCTTCGTTATTGGGATAGGTGGTCTATGCTTCCTCTGTTGCTGTTAATCTTTCCACTGGTAGGCCACCCTGTCTGGAGAGGAGCTGCCAGCCTTTTCTAAAACTATTTTATTTGCAGTTTTGACTCAGATGGCTTCTGTCACATAGAATAAGTGTTGCTATAGAGACATTTTGCGACACAAACCTTTGTCAAATTGGACAATAAATCATTTGTAGGCTCTGTTCTAGTTTCATTATTTGAATGTTGCTTTGTAGGGTTTTGCTCTCTGTTTGAAGGCATCACATGGGACAAGTGCAGTCTACAGTAAATAAAGAGCTAGCAATTTGAATACGTACAGTGAAATCACTTTTATAGAGCCTTCAGTGAGAATACAGTAAGCTGTTTTTGAGCAGTGACAGTGTGTTGTGTGAAATATGGCTTTTCCCTCTTGCCGTGCAGTGTGTGCAGACAGCAGCGCTGAATTATGGGCATGCTACAATCATATTGGTCTCAGCTGGATAAGTCCAATTCTGCTGTAAGCTACTGGAAACACACAGCCCAGTGACACAAGCTTTATACTCTGCCACTTACATATTCAGACTTGTGCAACATAAACAGGACGCTTTAGCTCTGATCAGTCTTTGTTTCTAAAATTCCAGATTTTTTTGCACTCATTTTCTTTTTGGGTAATTAAATGGCGACTCAAAGGTCACGCATCAGTATTTTGTTCTCCCCAAACAAAACAGCACTGCACTGAACAATATGCCAAAATTACAATATGTTTTTCTACTTATTTTCCCTTGCAGTGTGTGAATCACATTTGCTTTCCACATGCCAGGGGCCAAAAGATCTCAGTGCAGCCTTTGGGTAACCCCACAGGAATCTGAGTGCTCCGTACTGTTTAGTGCAAATGCTATCTTTGAAATTTATGATCCCCTCCGTTATAATCATGGTTCTGTTGGTCTCCCTCTAACTTATACTTTGTATTTCTTTTTGTCTGTTTTTTTCTTGCAGGTCTGGCGAGTGTGGTCAAAACTCTGCTGTGGTCAGAAATGGATCCTCCTCCTTTCCCCCCTGTTCCTACTCTTCCTCACGATATCCGTGATGACAATCACTCTTCCCCTGCCTCTGCCGCCCACTGACATTGACCGGCATTCATCCCGAGCTCTTAGCTCCGCAGGAAAGTTCAGATCCAGGCCCAGGATTGTGGAGCCCCCTCCAGTCGCTGCCTTCCAGCAGCCACTCAGTCACATCCACAGCGGTGCCTGGAGAACCAGCACTGGAAAAGAGACGTTTAAACATTCAGTGCCATCTAAACCTTTCGGGGATGCTGCTGGCAATGACAAAAACAGCATCAAGGAGAGTAGTCAAACTGACAAACACAGAAATAAACTGAAAAGCAAACGCATCACTTCCAAAAGAAAAGACGCCATCCAGCCAACCAGAAATCACCATCCCAATCTCCCAGAGTTTACAGTCAACAGCCCAGAGCCAAAGCATAGAATTAAGCCGAGCAACCACAGTGCTGTGGTAAAGCACACTGCACAGACTTACATTTATCTAGAAAGAAGTAAATCCACAGCAGCACGTATCCCTGCTCCAGCACATACCGTAATAACTGACAGAAGAGCTGCAGGCAGACATCCAGGAAGAGGGGACAGTAGACAAACATATGTGAATGCATACAACATACATGGCAGCCGTACAAGTACAAAGCCAGCAGGACATGACCAGGAAAAACACAGAGAAGCAATGAAACACTCTGCTGCTCCTTATCTGCTTGATCAGATTTACCAGGCTGTGAAAAAGCCCCCCAGAGAGCTCAAAAAACACCATAATCTCCTAGAGGATCCATCTGAAGCCAAGAAGAATCCTGGGTCATTGGACCATAGAAGGGCCGTGTCCAAACCCAAAGAAGCTCAAGAGAAAGATGACAGCGGCTGGTGCCAGAGCTTTAGAGAGCAGGACTTTCCAGACAATGACCACAGGAGAATCAGGATTAGCACAGATCTGCAGCCTCTCACCTGGCTCAGCAAGGATGACATCCAGAAGATGGAGCTCCTGGCTGGGGGGGAGGTGGTCAGCAAGGCCAGGGTGCCTGCACACGGACAGGTGCTCCAAGTGGTGCTGGATCCTCCTGCACACCAGCAGGTACGCTGGTATTTTGATTTCAAGTTGGGGAGCACCTTTGTAATTTCATAGTGAAGCTCATAAATAAAAGTCTTAGTCACATACAGTGGCTATTAGCTCCGCGCTAAACCCCCTTTAGTCCTTATTACAACTGTCATAACTGTATTATAAGTGAGCCAAATTACCTAAATGTTTGCCATATATATATTATTTATACAGGTTAGTATACAAATTGTAAACTTTAGAATCTACAAACCTGGAATTCAACATGTTTACCATATTTTTTAAGGAGCCACTACCTTCAAAATCAAGGCGCTATACTAACTGTGAACATGTGTTAAAGAGATTAAAACCACAGCTGTTTTTCACATCACACGTTGGTCTAGAAGTAACATGGAACCTAATGTTACTTTTGCATAGAGCCTTTTACTTCGATGCATATGCAATTTATTGACAGCTAATCCCTATTTAGACACATGATACGTAATGTTGCTGACTCACTCATTCTGTCATTCAGGAAGAGGTCACTTGTATGTTGGTGTTCCTCATGACTTCATTCAGACAACTGTACAGAGAGCCAGTGGATGCATATTTGCATGAGACTGGACAGTACATGAACTGTTGTATAACACAACATCAGAGTTCTCTTATTATGACATGGCAGACAAACATGAGGGTGTTGCAGGGTCAGTATTTGCTCGTGTTGTTGCTGTTTATGGTGTTCTCCAAAACAATAGATGGGATTAGCTGTAGATACTGCAGCGTCATCATCTTATGTATGCCTGCTAATGTGACTACATGCAAATCAGATGTGCTTCCTTGACAATAATATCTAAATGTTACTTGGTCTGACCTAGTGAGATCGACTGAAAAGCTTAATGACAATCATGCATGTGTTCTGCTAGAAGCTACATGAATTGCATGCAGCAGAGTTACAGTTGGTGTTTGGATGTGTTTTTTTTTTTTTTTACCAAAATGTAACTTAATAAAATAATTAGTTTAGTATACAAAAACAAAAAAAATTGTTAACTTCAACAATAAAGATGTAATTTGATGATGTGGGCTAAGACTATACCATTAACTGTCCATTCATATTGAGTTTTCCATCCTGAATGCCCCACCATCATCGTCACACTTGGGTAATTGGATACCTCCTGCCAGTGGAGATATAAACATGTATGCTGGTGATGTCGACAAGATCAAAACCAGCAATGTCTCTGTATTGGGCGTGCGTGGGCGTGTCAGAGCCTGATGTGTGACACGTTATTCTTCTCTGCCATAGAACTCTATTCTTGTCCAAAACAACTAAAACACACACACACACACACACACACAGTAAAAAAAAAAAAACAAATTCTCAGGTGTTTCATAAATTATATAGAGCCTCAACTATGTATTTGTTACCCATATATACAAATTTGCATCTTCAGGAAGAACTGGTTGGTTTCAATTATTAAAATAGTGTTAGGAGATTGACTTGCTGATTTTCATACTGCCCATGGAAGAGAAGGGACAAATATACATAAAATTAAAAACTGGTAAGAAACAATGTTCAATGTATTTAATCTGTAAGTTCAAGAGCTTAAAAGACTTGACATTTTACAGCTTATAGCTTACGGTAGCTGTGCTGTAGCACCACCTGTGTCTATTTGCATATTAAAGTTCTTAAGCTGCCCTTTGTGTAAAAGATGTGGACCAGACCTGGAGTTTTTAATTAAATGCTGGATGAAAAGTCATTATTTGATTTTTAGATATACATTAACATATTATAAATGAAGTGAAAGTCATATATATTTTCCTTCATCCACCACAGCAGCCATCACTGGTGAGAGATTTACATGAGCCTGGTGCTGGACACAGCCATGCAACCAGCCACAGTGAACGCTGCCAACAGGGGCACTGCTCCCTCATCAAACGCACAGATGACTGGTTCGAGGTGTTTGCCTTCCACCTGGACAGAGTGCTGGGACTCAACAAAAGTCTCCCTGCAGTTCTGCGGACTTTCCACAGTGACGTTCTGCCTTACCGGTACACCAGTGGCACCCCTAGACCTGCAGTGTGGTGGGACCCAGATATCCAGCACCTCACTGAAAGAGACAATGACCAGAACTCAGTATCGCTGAGCTGGGTCCAGTACCAGAAACTGCTGCAGGCCCGCTGTGGGAGCAAAACAGACCAGAGGTCAGCACCCTGCGTCGGAGTCCAGCACTCAGAGTGGGGGAGACTGGCTCTTTTTGACTTCTTATTACAGGTAAGAGAAGAGACTTTCCTCATACTGTGGCTTCCTTCTGTGGGAGAGAGACATAACCACACACACGACAAGTACCATAATCTTTTAATTATTGTAGAAGGAGAAATACATGTTTTCCAACATAGGAAGGGGTAGTTGACTAAAGAGCTGGTGGGAAGAAGGATTCTTGCATAAAATGAAAAAGAGTGTGAGGCATTGGGCCGTTTTCTATTACCACAGTTTTTCAATAAAATGCGTTTCAGACATTTTCCGTTGATCTGAGCAGCAGCTTTCTGTCTTCTTCTCTCTAACATGCACAGTATTCTCTCACCCAGATGCTCTCTCTGGCACAAACATTGGCACCAGTTGATTTAACATGAGTCATTTCCCGGTATCAGTGTAATTCAGTCAGTAACCCTTGAAAGTATCACATTTGGTACCCAGCTATACTCCCAACAGACAGCTACAACCACAAGCATGACATGAACAGCAGGGTGGTCAAGCTAATGCTAACAGGCACCAGCATGTTTATTACCTGATGAGGACTAGGGTTGAGCATTTCCTTTCTTCCAATCACATTTATCAAAACTAAATACAAGCTTTTGGAGTCCAAAAACATGCTAAGGTTAATTGGTGGTTCTCAATTGTCCGGAGGTGTGAATGTGAGTGTGCTTGGTTGTCTTGGTTGATAGACTGATGACCTGTCCAGGGTGTCCCCTGCCTTCACCTTCAGTCAGCTGGGATAGACTCCAGGCCCCCATGACCCTAGTGAGGATTAAGTGGTGTATAGATGATGGATGGATGGATGGATGGATGGATAAGTAGAAGTGAAGGAATAAAGAAAAGAGGCCGGCTAATTATCACGCTTTACTTTGTTGTTGTGTTTGCTGTGGAGTTTTTACTACTGACTGTCTTCTTCAAAGCAAGCAGACAAGTTACCATTCCTAGTAAAAAGTAAATCGCAGTTTGAACTGTGTCCAGCAGCTAACTCGCGTTCTAAGAGTTCATTCAAGAGACTCAAGTCATGACATCAGTTTATATAGCAGTTTGGCAGAAGACGGTTAAGTAAAAGAATAGATGTCACAGCACAGCTGAGCTATCCTCCTCTATTCTGGATTGTGTGTTCCCTCAAACGTCAGTACTTTTAAGACAGTATGGTTTTATTTATATTGTTGGAGAACTGCACAATTTAGTTGAATCTGATTTCCTATCATTTCTACAGATTTGCTGTGCCTCATTTGTAAATCTGATGATCACTGCATCAAAATCAGTCGAAATGTTGCCGTTTTAATGGCTTGTACGTGACCATGACACACAAAGTCATTGTCATCCTCGCTCTACATCCATTTTCCATTTTCTCAAACTTTCTTTATTAAAGTCATTTCTCTGATATCGCTTTCTGCTTGGGTGGATAAAGGCAATGAAAAGGCTTGTGTATTATATTGATATTTGCTCCACAAAGTGCACAAAGCACATCGCTGTATAAACATGTGCTTTCATTTGCTCAGTGAATAGGAAGAGAAGACACTGACTGAATGAGAATGATGCATGTGTGGTTTCTCTCACGTAGACACAAACACACACCAGATGTCCTTGCTGGTCAATCTCTAATGTTTAGGATGTGATCAAAGATTCAATTTATTGTGCAACTGAGACAAGGTGCATCACATCACACACATACTGTAAGTGTCACAAAGCTATTTGTAGTAATCCTTCCTTTAGGCAGAAACGTGTTTGTGGTGGTAATGTACAACAATAACATACTATCATGATGACAGGTTGTTACATTCTACAGTCAGGAAAGCATCTAGTTAATTGCATCCCAACAGACTGCATTAAATGGGCTGTGTTTAATGAAAGGCTGTGGTGGTGCTTATGTAGAATGTGTATAAAGTACAAAGCATTGATTATCTATAAATCAGTGAACACAAGGCTTTATGCATATGGAAATAACGTTGCCACCAGACAGAAGATCATATCCTAGTAAGTGTTTTAAGGAGATAGCAAACTGAAGAAATAACAGTTATGACTGTATTGAAGTTCTGCAAATGTCAATTATTTCTTCTTCTTCTTCTTCTTACATAATTCCACTTCTTTCATTTAGTAACTCAAAGTGCAGTCCAAGCATGTAATATGGGTCAATACAGATGCCTCTGCTACTTTAATGAGTTTGTTGATGTGGTCGTTTGTGTTTATTGCAGTGCTGGCACTTTACAATGTCTCAGGTTTTGTACAGTTTTCCTACTAACCAATAGTGTTAATTGTTGCATCCATCAGTGTCTGTTGGCAGTATTTCTGGTCAGCATATTCAAGGCCACTTGCCTAGTGTGTCTCAGCATGCAGCAGGGTGTAATGCAACCTTAAGTGAGCCAGCCACAAGATGAGTACACAGCATGTTCATCTCATTTTCTAGCTTCAATCTTCTTGATTCCCTACCGAGAGAGAGAGAGACAGGCGCAAGCTGAGTACGTACATTTTAGAGATGTTTTATTGTAGTGTATGTTTCATTTTAGTTGATTCTGTGATTGGCCAAAAGAATCAGGGTTAATTGCAATTTTATTTCTGGTATTTTTCTTAATCAAATTTTTGTTCAGTCTTCACTGTGTAACAGATTTTAAACATCTGAGCTACATGAGAGACCATCAGAGACCAGTGTGAATGTCACACAAGGAAGGTGGCATTAGTTTGTAAAACCTCTGATGCAACAGATCAAACCCTGGGCTACATATGCCCACAGTAACAAGTCATTTGCATGTCAGAGCAGAGTACAAAGTACTTCACCTGTTTTCTTCACTACACCATTAAAATCACAGTAAAAATGCTGTCAAAGTCCTGCATTACTTTTATACCCAGAAGTGAAGAGAGAAACAGGTTTTATCAGGGCAATGTGTTGACATTTACCTAATGTCTGTTCAAGGTAGAGCTTTTATTTCTGATAAAACGTTAGACAGTTTAATGAAACACATCGCAGAATAATTTATTTTGTGAGTAAAACCTTTGACACTGTCCACAGGGCTCTGATCATCCCATCAACACAACATTAGTGTCTATAAATTTGAATTTATATGCAGTACGAATGAGAAAATGAAGCAATCTTTATTCTGTTCATAGTTTGTTTATTTTTTGTCTTTAAACAAAAGAGAACAAACAAACAAAAACAATGCAAAAGTACCAATAAGAATACCGTTAAAGTACTAGACCGATAAGCAGTATTGGTAAAAGCAGCAGTACAGTTAAAATTTAACAATACCCAGTCCTAATGAGAACAGAGTAAATGTTTTCTGCTATGAAAATGTCAATAGTCTTGTATGATTAAAGGTTTAATAACACATGTTGATTTAAGTAGATGATTATAGACGTGCTTTATGGATTATGGCAATAGACAGTTTCCAGGTAGATTAAAGGCCCCTTATTATACCCCTTCTAACAAGTTAAGCAAAGTCTCACATGCCCCCTGAATGTGCATTTCAAGTTTCAGTTCAACTTGACTGTTTTAATAAGCATTATATTGCCTCTGGCTCCCAGTTCTCCAGGTCTTCTCCTCCCATTGCCACACCTGCCCTTAATCCTGAGCCTTCTGCTCCAGATGCTGGTCACATGTCTGCTGATCAACCTTGCTTTAGTTTTAGATTGTTCTCAGTGGAAGAGGTCCATAGAGCTCTCCTCTCTCTGGACATAACTAAATCAGGAGGCCCATATTGTTTAGAACCTTTTTTTTTTTTTTTTAAAGTTAGCTGTTGATTTTATTGCTAAACCCCTCCAATGTCTTTTTAGCCTCACTATTGCTACAAATTGTATTCTTGACTTTTGAAAGGTTGCTTACATTCTATCCCTTTTAAAAGGGGGGACCCTACCTGTTTGAACAATTATCAACACATATCCAAGTTGTCCATTTTGTCAAAGGTCCTTGAAGGTCTAGGTAATGATCAGTTGAAGGATTTTCTCCATACTAACAATATTCTCTCCCCATTTCAATCTGGCTTCAAAAACGACACAGCACTATCACAGTCTCCCTCAAATTACACAATTACATTATAGACTCGCTGGATCATTTGAAAAAAAAATGTACAGCCCTCTTTGATGACCTTTCTAAGGCCTTTGACACAGTGGACCACTCTATTTTGAAGCAACGGCTGCTTGATATGGGTTTATCTGAGCGGGCCATTGGCTGGTTTGGTAATTATCTGTCTGACAGAAAGCAAAGTGTTTATTTTGAAGGCAACTCATCCACATTGCTAAATGATTCTACTGGCATGCCCCAGGGCTCAGTTCAGGGGCCACTTCTGTTTGTTATTTATGTAGACACATTGGGCAGAAATGTCCCAAGTGCCAAATTTTATTTTTGTGCTGATGATACAGTCATATACTGCTGTGGCTCCAGCCTTACTGAGGCCTTTGGCAAGTTACAGTTTGCTTTTAACCTTGTGGAACGTCAACTCATTGAGCTAAAACTTGTTGTAAATGCTGCCAAAACTAAATTGATCATTTTCTCCAATAGCCGGAATGTACTTTAGTCCCCTTCCAGCGTTTTTACGTTGCAAGGGTGTGAGATTGAACTTGTGACCTGTTACAAGTGTACTGGCATTTTAGTTGATGATCGGCTTTCTTTCAAATCTCACATAGAAAACCTGGTGAAAAGATTTGTGTTGAAACTGGGATTCTTTTTTCATCACAGGTCTTGTTTTTCTTTTGCTGCCAGGACGTAGTTGGTTGCTGCTACCTTTCTCCCTGTGCTTGACTACGGCGACCTTTTATATATGAATACCCCTAAAAAATTGTCTGCGAAGTCTGGATTCTGTGTATCACGGTGCTGTAAGGTTTGTCACAGGTTGTGGCGCCTTCACTCATTACTGCACTTGATATGCTCGAGTTAAGTGGCCCTTTTTGGCGACGCGCTGCCTTACGCACTGGTATACTTTTATTTACAAAGTCATCCTAGGGCTACTCCCCCACTATCTATGTGATTTAATTTCTAAAACTTACAGCAATTGCTGTTTACGTTACAATGAATTGTACTTATT